ATTGCTTGTTGTTAGGTTATTTTGGCTGGAAAAAAGGAGACAGTCTCTCTGGCTATGAGAAATGCTGAGAAATTCCGCACTGAGCTTCTTAAACGCGGAGTCCTTCTAGTTCCTGTTATTTGGGGTGAAGGTAGGGAAACAAAAATAAAGAAAGGTTTTGGTCTTTCGCAAAAAGCAGTCACTTCCCTCCCATCCATAGGGGTAAGATTGAAGATTTTTAGTAGCACTTAATGATAATTTTTAAACATGATGCTATAGCATGCACGTCAAGTTCATGATTCTGCTTTCTATTTGCTCAAAGTCCAAAATATATTTTTTACAATTACACGCTACAGGATTATTGAAAGTCGTTTCTTGTTGCTCAACAAACATAACACAATAATCTTAATGGTGCATGTATCTCATTCAGGGTTTCTTATTTTTGTCCAATATGTAGGAGGATTTTGACCAAAGAACTCAGTCAATAATTGCAAAATCAAAACTGAAGTCAGAGATCCGGTTCAAGGCGGAGGTCGTTTCACCTGCAGAGTGGGAAAGGTATCAACCTGTTCCTAATACACTTGAAACTACTCATCACATCATGTTCATGTAACCTTGTACCCGATGTATAGTTCAACCTCAAATCTATTTCAGGTGGATAAGGGATCAACAGAAGTCCGAAGGTGTTACTCCTGGTGAAGATGTCTACATTATACTTCGTCTAGATGGTCGTGTTCGACGATCAGGAAAGGTCAGTGCTTGTAAAACCAAAGTGCTATGAATTCTCTTCTTTGGTCCATTAATCATGACACAATGTTGTGCTTTATATGCATACATAATCAGCACATAAGTTGCTATGACATGGCATAGATGACTGTATTTTTAAAAGTATAATTATTATTCTTACGGGTTAATTCATTCTTAGATTTTAACATTGACCAACTCTGCAGGGAATGCCTGACTGGGCTCAAATTTTAAAAGAACTGCCTCCAATGGAAGCAATATTAAGCAAGCTGGAAAGATAATACAAGTTTCTCTTGCTGTGCGCTAAAAGCTTTTCATTCCTAGTGTATTTTCGGTCAGTCTCCTTACTTGAAATATAAAAGGCACTAATTGATGCCTGTCGAGCTTGTCTGTTTTACGTTCCATTTTTTCACGAACATATACTGTACTATAATTCTATAAATTGATATTGATATTTGCCAGATGAATATCCAGAGGAAATGAAATTTCATAGGAGATAGAAATCCAAACAATGGAACTAATAGTTATTCATCTACTGTTGAAGCTAGAGGTGGATCCATGATTTTAATTCAATATACACGATTACCACTATATGACACTTTTTATGACACGGATCTGATATGTAGCTTTAGTAAGCACTTTTGTCGTTGAAGGTTGGTTTGTTGAACACCCTTTGGTGGAAAACTATACTACATATATAGGTCAAATTATCAATCTCACACACACAAAAACACACATTAAACCTTGAATAACCTTCGTGGAATTTCTGGCTTCGCAAGTGCATACAAGTGAATCACCTGTGCTTGAAGTCTTGGTTTTTGTTTCCTTATTGAAGGTTGGGACAATCAACTGGACAAAGAAAGAAAAACAAGAGAAAATATTTCTAATGAGTTGGGTAGTAATTTCTGCTATGTAGTTGACTTCTTTGAGAAATATTAGTATCATTTATTTTCTTGCAGACGTTCAAACTGAGTTTTAGTTCATAATTTGTTAATGGATCCATCTGTTTTTAATATTAACCTAAGTCTTTTTTAATAAAAACGAGAAAAGAAAAAACTATTTAAACTGGAATGGTTCCAACAAGAAAGATATTCTAAACCTACTCCAATAAAAAATACTACTGATAACTTTGCCAGGAAGACTTTTACATATTAAGGTGAACTGGTGACGGCAGACCATGATTTGAAATTCATGTATATTGAATTTTAGTCTTTTTGAGTTACTTTATTCTAAATTAAAAATTTATACGTATTAATAAATTATTTAAAAATTTAAGTTTCAAAAAAAAATAAAAAAATTATTTAAAATGAATACAAATTTAAATCAAAATTATCGAATTCTGTCGAATTGGCTTGGTTAAAGAGACCAAGATGATTGCTTATTATTCTATTCCTTCGAAAATTTGAGTCCCTCCTTCGCCTGCACGGTCACTCTGTTTGATGCATTTTTTTAAAAAAACTTGTGTACTCAAATATTTGTGTAATTTTTATTAGATTATGAAAAATTTAAAATCTCGAGAATAGATGTGATGATTTACTATTCTAGAAGGCACCTAGACATATTTTCTTTCAAGGATTTCTCCTGGGACTTTTTTCTAAAGTGTAACCATGGTATCAATTTCTTATTTTTGCTTTAAGTAACATTTGACATATTTTAAGCCTATATAAAAAGTACTACTATTAATCATACCATTATTTAAAACATGTTTGAAGTCGGTCAATTTCGGGAAAAAATTGTTTGACTCGGTAAATAATATAGTGTTTTTTTTTTTCGGACCAACTTTTTCGTACCTTGAATAATTTCACAGGATATCTATCGCATTCCACCATAAACAAATATCAAGTAACTTTGTCCATCAAAACTAAGACAAATGGTAAGCCCTTGAACTATCCAAAATTAAGCAATTTTGTCTGTTCTTTGATTTTTGGCCTAATATTACTCACTATTTGAAAAAGTTTTTGCCCAGAACCTTTATAGAATGAATAGAAGAAAAGATTTTTTTTAAAAATGTTTGTGTAAAAATGAAAATCTCTCGAAGAAAAAATATGCAAGTGAATTATAAAATCAAGTCTCCTTGAGTTGACTTTTTTGTTTTTTTTTTTGAAAAATTGACACATGGAGTATATCTATTTTGCATTGGAGCTACGTATATAACAAAGGATAAATACGAAACAATTTGCTAACGACTAAGTATGAAAAGACCAAACAACTCTGTAGAAGAAAAATATTAGATAACAAAGAAACACAATAAATTAATCTATAATAATAATAATATAGAAAGATTGGCATCATTTTCTTTGGTAGGTTTTGAAAGGTTCATCTATTTTGATGATGACTTGAACTTTCCAACAGCAATGAGTAACGCGTTTGAACTGGTAAATAAACGAAACCCATTACCAAAGAAGCTTCATTTTTCATTTGAATTAATATCATATTATTATTATTAGTAGTAGTAGTATATCCATTGAAATTAATATTATTTCTTCTCCGACCACCATAATCCTTGATTTTCCTTACGTCCACTATCATTATATATTATGATTAGGTCTAAGATTAGGACAACTAAACTCTTATACTAAATCAATATGACCATATACTTCTAATAATAAACTCTCCTTTCCCCTAAATTTCATTATATTTTATTTTTCAAATTATAATGAAAATAAATTTTAATATAAAAAAAAAAGAAATTGTTCACATTCAATGTGTATGCTACATGCATGAGAATACACATTATTCAATATCTGATATCTGTGTTGATGGGAGAAATCAAATAATTGAGATGTACATAAAATGATTTGAATAAATATTAATATAATAAAATTACGTAGAAGACATGATTTGTGTTTTTTTTAATCATGAGCAGCTCATAATTAAGTTGGTGCAAACACCAAATGTAGATAAATGATTTTCTTTCATATACCCTTAATCTTGGATTTTTTTATTTTTTATTTTTGTAATTAGTAACACGTTAATTATTGATACAAGTGGTACATGTGCATTCATATGGTGAAATTGTTTTCGAGAATGTTGGGATTATAACCACGACGGTGAATCCTTTGGATAACAACTATTAACTATTTTCCCACTATAAAAATTCAACTTTACACTTAAAAATCCTTCCCACATAATTATATACTTAGGAAAATTAGTTTTATAAATTGAGAAAAATGATTTAATTTTTCTAATGAACATAGAGAAAATAAGTTTTACGAAAGTAGCATTTTACATTATATCCTCCACATCCTCTAACACAACTCATCTTCACTCCACCCCATAGCCCTTATCCCCATCATCCTCACCTCTACTAGCTTAGCTACATGTAGTGATGGATGGTCAATCGAACATTCTTTATCAAAAAATTATATTGTGTATATAAAAAATGATATAAAATATATAGGTAAAAAATTATGTGTTTTACGTGCATATTTAATTTTAAATACCTTCAATGAAATTTTTAGCTTCACCACTATCCACGTCCCATAATATTTATCTAAATTATAGTATACAAATATTGATTACCCAAAAAAGTATTTTCCTTCCTACCAAACACACCTTAGGGGTGTGTATCGATCGGTTCGATTCGATTTTATGTAGTACTGGTTTGGTTTATCGATTTTCAATTTTTAAATATGCCAAACCAATAACAACTCAATAAAATATTTTGTCGATTTACAATTTATTGTTTTTGGTCGTTAACAATTTGATTTTCGATTTATCTAATAAGAAAATACTCATAAAAAATATATATATAGCTTCTCACTTTTCTAATAATTTGGCGCGATACAGTGAAACAAGCAAATCAGTTGTAAATGTTTTGATATAGTGAAACAAGAAAGATAATATTTAATTATGTAGATTGTAGAGAGAGTGAATATTGATAGTGTCTAGTTATGTTAATAATTACTCATATTTAATATTTATGAAGGGTAGAGTAAGAAATTACTATCGTCTTAATAGGTTTACCCAATAACACACTATTAAAAATTGAAACCGAACCAATAACACAATATTTTTTTATATATAAAATCATTAAAAATCCGTTAACTCAATACCCCAATAAAAAAAAATTCCGTTCAATTTTTGCAAATCCCTACTTTAGCACTTAAAATATACAGAGTCAAATATATTTTGGACATGCATTAATTTTGAGACTGGCACTTTGGTAAATACAGACAACATGGACACCATTTCACAAAAAAGGCCAAAAATACTTTAAAATCCATAGTAACCAAATCCCGCCCTATTGTCGTTGAGCTAAAAACAGTGAGAATATGGTAGCAGTAGCAGTAGTAGTTAGAACTTACAGAAAAAAATAAAATAATCCAGTTGTTTTTTTTTTCTTTTCTCTATATATATATTGAGTAAGAGAGAAGGAAGATAACGCACCGATTAGCATTGAAAATTTTATCGGCAATGGCGGTGAATTCCTTTTCCTCCATTTTCATCATCTCTTCATTGTTGATCGCAGCTTTGATTATCTCCGGCGATGCTACCGGCGGCGATTTCGACGTGAGCGGTTGGGTTCCGATGAAATCCGCCGACAGCTGTGAAGGTTCGATAGCGGAGTGTATGGCTGCCGGAGAATTCGAAATGGATTCGGAGAGCAATCGGCGTATATTAGCAACTACTGATTATATAAGCTATGGTGCGCTGCAGAGTAACAGTGTTCCGTGTTCTAGAAGAGGTGCGTCGTATTATAACTGCAAGACGGGTGCTGAAGCTAATCCGTATACACGTGACTGCAGTGCTATTACTCGTTGCCGGAGTTAAATTAATTAACGATCGAATTAATCGATGTTAATTAATTATTAGTAAGTGTAATTGCTTTGATTAATTTGCTGTTTTGAATAATTTCGTAGTGTTTATATATACTTACGTAGGAGTATTTTCTTTTCAGTTGCAATTCCAATAAAGTGATAGTGGTGCTTTGGCAGCGCTTTATGGTTAATACAATGTTCATTTGGTGTTTGTTATTTGTTAATTGGTATGATACTTTGCTTCATCTTTTGGGTTAGAAACACAGAGAGATGCATGAATTATTCTCTACTTGTTTCTGTTTTATACTAGTACTATATACATACAAATATTGTCGCAAAACTAGTACTATATACGTACAAAAATCGTTGCAAATTAAAGGGAAGCACTGACGCAATTGGTAAATTTGTTGTTATGTGACTAAGGGGTCATAGGTTCAAGTTGTGGAAACAACCTCTCATAGAAATGATGTCGGGGCTCCTTTCATGATACCCCGCATAGCGAGAGCTTAGTGCATCGAATTGTCCTTTGAAGATGAAATGATGTCGGGGCTCCTTTCATGAATCCCCCACATAGCTAGAGCTTAATGCATCTAACGGTCCATTGTGATCAAACTAGCAGTACATCCCTATCGAAAAATATTAATGGCAATATCTTCTTTTGACATCGATTTTCCGGTAACTTGAACTATAAAGATTGCCATAGTACTATAAAAATTATATAAACTAGCAAATTATTAATTCAAATTAAATGTTATAACCACAGTTTGATTTAATTGTAACCCGTAGCAAATAGTTGTCATTCGCCTCTCCCTGAATTTCTTGCTCGCCACTCTCAATTTCTCGTTGAGCAGTCTCTCCCTCGCCTCTCTCACTTTATACAAATACAAATGTATAAAACGCGTTTGTGTTTATATAAAGTGAGAGAAATTTGTATATATACATATCTTTTCGTTCGTCTCTCTCCCCAGAGAATCTCACTCGCTTCTCTCACTTTATAAAAACACAAATGTATAAATTGTGTTTGTGTTTGTATAAAGCGAGAGAAAATTGTATATACAAATACATATTTTTTCGTCCTATACACTTATAATTATACAAATACAGATCTTCCCCTACCCAGTTTTCTTTTGTCTTTCTTTCTTTCTTTCTCGCTTTATACAAACACAAATTATACAATTGATTCTTTTGTATATGTATACCAAAACAGATTATACAATTGATTCTTTTGTATATATGTATACCGAAATATACATATTAATAGTCATAGCAAACATAAAATTTGCTATAAAATGCAATTATACAAACTATAGCTATAACTTACAAATATGATTTTTGTGTTTGCTAAACCTAAAATTTACTCGTATGTAGTTATAAATATGTAAAATTCTGTTCAAGAAAAAATTAGATATGGTAGTTTGCTAATTGAGACAGATTGACACGGGGTTTTCTAGTTCAGCACTAGTTAACTTGTAAGATTTCAATTTTCAAATACCCTACAGACACGGTCAAATTCTAAATCTGATGAATCATGAAAAGGACGTTAATTATATGGTAATTATACGTTGAATGTTCCCATGAGAAGTAAGAAGCGTTCTTGCCTAACTACTTAGTTGGTGCACGCACAAACGACCAGCTAACCTCGACGAAAATGACTAAATCTCCTTAAATCAACTAAACCTCAATATCAACGGCATACAACACCATGCTATAAGTAGTCCAAATCTGAGCTGGACAATAAATAGTACACCATACAGATTTAGATAAGTAAAAAATGTTGACCTTCTAAAATATTCAAGTCTAATTCAGATTTATGCTAATGAAATCCTCAAATGTTAAAAACCCCATAAATTATTAATCCTTGATGCCATGGGGATGATCTCTGTGTGGTTGTGACCAGCTTTCTGGTTTTGTATACCATCTAACAAAAGTAAGCATTATCACTACAAATAGAAACAGAAACAAAAACTACTCTCAGTATAATCAGATGACGCCTCTTGGTCATAGCAACAGAGTTTAACACAATGGTGGGTAGGAGATGAGGGGAGGTAATTTTGCCATTCGCATGCATCACGAGTTATCGGGCAAGAAAAAACAAGCAGTGCTTTATCTGGCCTTCTTCTTAGATGTAGATTTATCAGTTGTTTTTTCTACGTATGGATATTCTGGTGAACTTATCCATAGACCACCCAATATGATCAAATGGACACAGAGGAGGACAAGTGATGAGTAAGTGTTGGAGGGGAAGACATTCCAGCAAAACTCTACAGCTGCGAACAAAAATAAGCTGCAGTACAACACAAAAACTTGTCAACAGAAAATACCATACAACTGAAGCAAACAAAGAAGTTTGAGTATCAAATTGAATACCGTAGGAGGGTAGGAAATGGTGTTTTCCACAATAAATACGGTAAGCAATAGAAGTACCTGCAAACAAGATGTAGGACATCAATGGTTTTATCTTAATTCAATTGAAACTTTGACACAGAACCCAGGAACACAGTGAAAGCGCGAATAATCTTCCAAATTTTCATTTGATTGGCTAGTGTTAGTCGAGGCCTTTATGTCTTGCTTTGGTGCCATGATAGCAGGGAGAGGAGCTGATTTTTGTGATCTTCACTGACTCACCGGGAAAAAAGTTCACACAAAGAGGTGGTCAACTACTCAATGAGCATTTTATATTTAAATACACTTCTCCCTTTAAGTACATGCTGCAGTTCTGTGAACTACTAACAAAATGCATCCCGAAATTCTCTGTTCTTCAATGAGATGCTGAAGCATCTCAAGTTATTACAAGGTCCGTCTGGAATGCATTATTTATTTTAGTGTGTCACAATGATTAAATTAGAATAAAACAGTTGATCATTTTTATAAAGTTCTGATTAAACATTTCAATTATGTCCGCTTGAAATATTTGTTGTACTTTTATGTGCAATTACCACCAGAACTGAGCTCAATACAAACATAGGATCATAAAAGCATGCATCTATCTCAAGCTGAATATTATGTTAACTATTCCAAGAATCAAAGTAAATTATCATTTACTAAAGCTTTTCAAATGTTTAAAGTTGCATATTTAAATACTTAATGTGGACAATTTGATCTTCTTTTAATTCACTCTGAGAATTAGTTTAGCCAACCCTTAATAACCACATCAAGACATTTTTGTTGAGAGATGAGGAGTATGAGATAGAATCCATGACCTAAAGAAATAAATAAGCTGCAAAACTTACCAAGAATAAAATTGGTAATGGAGGGATCGGGCACATATAATGCCAATGAAATTCCCAACAAACATAGTCGTCACAATATCTGAGAATGAAATAGACACAGACCAATTCAGCAACCATAGATCATGCCAAATCAAGACAAAACTAGTGACAGTATAACGCTTGACAGCCTTTTTAAGTATAGAAAATCACAAAATAGATTGTGCATGTTGCTTACGGTCAGCTTGAAGGACTTTCTTGGTTGAGGAAGGATTTCTCTGAGAAACTCTGAGCTTCAGTTGAATGATTTTTGAACGCACAACAGCAAACAGTCCCCCTTCATGCCTGCAAAAGATGAAAAAGGAAAAATGCAGTCCAGTGGCCGCTAACTCATTACCTTCGTATGTAGAGAAGAAAATAATATCGTTAACATAATATGACTTTTCTTTTCCTACTTCAATACTGGAATATCAATGCCACTACACTAGATGTATGATAATATGAGAAATACTCACCTGCACCATCTGTAATGAGCAAAAACCAATAGCAGACTGAGATGAGCAACTAGCAAAGAGAGAGCAAAAGCTTTAGAAACAAAGATGTCTTCAGGAACAAATTTGAAGTTGACAGACCTGCAACAAATCAGAGAGTTAGGATAAACTGTTCTTTGTAAAGGATAGCACAACATCATGACATGAGCATAATGTTGCACTAACACAGTTGATAGAAATACAGTTCTCAGCGAATCAGATTATTCTAAAAGGCATACCAAATACAACTTAAAATTCAAAAGGATCTGACTAAACTTGGTTTGAAGATCAGAGTAGGCTTAGGGTGAGAGTGGATATTCAAGGGATATGGGGAAAAAATACTTTGCTGTCTACGTCCACTGATAGAAAACGATCCCACTACCCACCCGAACTCCCAAGGGATGAGACAGAGAACAAACTACAGCCAGCAGTAAGAACATGCATCTCCTACATTTAGCAAACACCACCAAATACCAATGTATTGTTTGATGACATTTGAGGTAAAAAGTGCATGATAAATACAATAATGTTGTTTCATGTGATGATAATGCACGTTTATACAACACTGTGTCAAGTGAATAGATACACGATCTCTTGTCACCATATTAATGCGGATTTCATAAATATCCAGGGGTATAATGTTTATTTATTTTGCACATTAAAACAATTTTACCAAAACATAAATAAATCAAGAAAGAAGGATGACAGCAATGTTAAAGACTTAAAAGTTGCATGATATTTTTGACATGGTGCCTCAGAGTACCAATTGTGCACACATTGTTGTTTAAGAAAGTACCAGAAGTGGATGAAAACCCGACCAAGATTGAAAGCGTTCGATAAATATGAAGCTGGATGTGACAGGATAAAAGGAAGCCCTATGAGAATCTGCACCAATCATCATGATCATTGGTAAACAATTTGATCAGAAGAAGCTCCATTCATCAGAAGTATACTTGTCACCCAACTCACCTATGCATATGAACCACAAACTCATCAGTCGATCTCTGAGGAAAGAATAGAATTTTTTTTGTAACAATTAAAAGAATGCCCAAGAGCATCGAGGATGGAACATATAGATCACCCAAAAGTTAAAACATCAGGTGTTATTCAAGAGTGCGCAGAAGAAAGTGATGCCTTGATCCTGGAGCAACCACAAACCTTCCCTCCCCAAATAACGAAACATGCTTAAACTATTTTCCAAAACAACATTACCAAAGAACACAATTGCAGTCATGCAGACAATAACAAAAGTAAAGATAAGAAAATCATGCCGCCCGCTGAACATCATCGCATTAGAAATTAGAAAGGGAACTTGGAGATTACCCACCTGCACTAATGCAGCCCCTGCTAAAGCAGATATCACTCCAACAATATCCATTGCCTGTATTTCAAGTTTCCACCATATAACACAAAAGGTAATCAGCAATGTAATTCAATGTCCTACAAAGATTATTAATAACCTAAACTGTCCCAATATATACCTTCACCATCAGGAGCAACAGAGGTGGTGCATACAGGAGCACATTCATCTTTATGGAAACAGCTCCGCTGTACTAAAGAGAAGACAATTGATCAATCTTAACTGATAGTTTTTAATCAATGATATAGAGCAAAATTAATCCAACAATAAAAATGTCTAAGCAAGCAAGAATATACCTGAAAATTAC